AATCTAAATGTAATAAAAATTAAAATGCAATTAAAATCTCAATTTTATTAAAAAATTCTCAAAACTTGATTTTCTTAAATCACAACCCATATATTGCTTTTTTTCTGAATTCCAATTTTTATATAAATAATTGTATTTACTATTTTTAAATTTAAATTATTTCTGTTTTCTTAACCATTTGTGATAATATTAGATAAATTTTCTCTTCTAATTTAAAGAATCAGTATTACTATCTACTAGAAAATTTAAATATTTATCTAATTTATTATATGATATTTTTTGATAATTATTTTGATTAAGTAAATTAAGAAAATAATCAAACAATGATAATTTTGGTTTTAATATTTTTTTAATTTTCTAAGAAAATATATTATAAATAATTTTTATAATTTTAATTAAATTATTATTGAATAATATAATTTTATAATGCAGATTTAATACTAAAAAAAATTATTAAAGTTTGATTTAAATGTTTATTCTAATATTTTTTAATTTAATATAAATTACTAAGTTATTTTTTTTTTATTATTATGATTTCCTTTTTGATATTAATCCAATTTTTTAAATATTTCTTTAAAACTTATTATATATCATTTTGTATAAGATATAATGATAATGATAATAATTATGTTACCTTATATTTAGATTATAAAACTAAGAATAATTCCTAAAAATTAATAAAAATAAATTATATAAATAATAATTATAAGACATATTTATTTTACGAATAATCATTTTATCAACAATCATTTTACTAAGGTTGGTAAAAGTCCTAATAAGTCCTAATTGATCTTAAAGAATTTAAGATAATTTTTAATTTATATACTATTAATTAAATTTTTTAATAATAAATTAATCTTTTTAATGATTATTATGTATTAATTATTTTATTTAATAGTACCAGTTGTGATAAATTCTGAAGTCAACTCAGTCAGCTGTTAGAGACTTTTCAGTTGACTCAGCCATCGACTGAGTCGAGACTCTCATTTGAAATTAGTGACCATAATTACATTATTAATATTTTAATATTTATCAAAAAATTTTAAAATTTAATTAATATTGCAAAAAAATAGATAATTATAAATTTCATCATAAATAATGTTGACAAGAATCTCATTTGACTAAAAATTTGAAGTTTTATTTAATTAAAAATTTCACAATATTCTGACCTTATATCAAATTTTAAACAGTGACTCAATTATGACTCAGTCATTGAAAATTCTGAAGTTAACTTAACTTGATTTTTTCAGAGTCAACTCAGTCATCGACTCTGACTCCAACAGCTGGTATTACTAATTTTATTAATTTAAAATAAAAAATTCTTTAAAAATAATAAATATACTTAATTTAGGATCTGATCCTAGGACCTAGGTCCTAGGTCTAAAATTTTAAAGATATTTTAAATTTTAAAAAGAAATTTAAACTTATTTTAATAAGTAACTTTAATTAACAAATTGAATATAATGATAATATTTAAAAAAATTTAATCTTTATAACTAATAATTTTTTTAAAATTAATCAGAACCAATTAGGACCAATTAGGACTTTTACCAGCCCTAGACATAATAGATATATTTGATTTATTCGACATATATAAAATATTAGTTTTATCTTTCTATGTAAATTATTTTATATAAATAGGATGGTTTGTAAATTTTGGAAAGGGAAGGAGTTAGATTTCCTCTAACCTGATGCTAATATTCTTCTTATATATTTTATTCTTTTCTTTTATTTCTAGAGAATTTTACTCAGAGTTGTGTAATAATTCTTTAATCTTTATTTATTTATTTTATTATCAATAAACCATTTTATTATTTACATCTGTGTGATCTATAAATGATAGCATGATATTTAAACATTTGAGTGAAATTTACAAGTCTGCATGATGCATAAGTCTTAGCGATAAGCTGCAATCTGAGTATAAGTGATGCATAAGTCTTAGTGATAAGCTGCAATCTGAGTATAAACCTTCAAGACAATCAGGTCTTTCGTATTCAATCTGTATAAAGACAATCAGGTCTTTTGTGTTTAATCTGTGTAAAGACAATCAGGTCTTTGTAATAGTTTAATATCTTAGTAAAATATCAAATCAATACGTCTGAATGACATCAGTTATAAGTCTAGGACTTAGGAATAAATCAGTAGATTACTACGTACATTAAAAAGAAATAATATTCTGACACCCTGTCTAACAGTTGTAGTTTGCAAGAATTATACGTTAACAATACCAAAAAAACATCTCCACATTATAACTCTGCCTCCACTATGCTTTACTGTAAGAACAAGACAGTTAACATTATATTTTTCCTTTGGAAAACGCCAAACATGAACTTTTCCATTATTTTGAAATAGGATGAACCTGGATTCATCGCTTCAGATGTCTTTTTTCCAATTGTTTATTGACTAAAAATGTCTTTCTCAAAACTATTTTAATCGAAAATGTCGCTAATATAAGGTTTTCAAAGAGCAATTCAGCTATGATATCCCATTTCATAGAATGCATATCGTATGGTATTCTTATCCACTTTCTTTCCAGTTGAATTTACAAAAGTTTCCTGTAATTTTGTGCTGGTTCATGCCTTTCCTTACTAATAATAAACTTTAAATAATGCTTATCACGTTCAGTCAGTTTTTTGGATCATCTACTTCAGGAAGTAGTAGTAAGAACTCTTGTTTTATGATACTTTATAATTGCATTATGGATAGCTATTTTTGAATAGCCTATTTTTTTAGATATGACTTTTTCAGATTCACCTGCTTTATGGAAACCAATAATTATCCCATGTTGAATAATTGTAAATTCTTTCTTTTTGATCATATTAAAGAATGTATAAAGAAAATTTTTTTAAAAAAGCATAAGAAAGGTAAGAGAAAGGGTTTGTGAAGATCATTTGATAATCATGTATTAATAAATATTGCATCATGGTCACATCGCCTTGATCATGAATTAAATCGTATGAACTACCTCTATATGGAAACTGGCATGATAATTACAGTAATTTTTGTAGCTTAGAGTATCTGATAAACCTTATAACCCTTCAAAAACTTTCTCAGAACATTTTATGGATTTTTATCGTGACACTGCAATTGAGGACTGTACATGTGTAAACTTGGTAGAGCATTATCACGCAAGGTCTGGGCAAAAGGATCTTAAAAAAGTAATGGATTATATAAAGAAGGACCTCCAGAAAGTGGCAGATTTTGATTCTGAATTTGAAGTAACGCGCAAAGGAAAAGCTCGAGAGATCCTTAACGATTGGAAGGTATGTTCATTAGTGGAATAGAGATTTAAGACAAGTTAAGAGTTGAGCTAAACTGCTCATTTGGCGTCTGAATAAGTTAAAAACTTAGTCCAATAGTGATGAACTCTTGATTCGACACTAGTGCAAGCTGGGATTCTTGGTCTGCAGTGATGAATTCTTGGTTTGACGCTTAGCGCAAGCTGGGACTCTTGGTCTAAAGAATAGTTCCTAGTTTGATGCTATATTGTTATTGTTATTGGAAATGTTTTTTATAGGTATTAGGATTAATTACTTACTACATTTTTTCAAGAATTGGACAACCACATGAAAGAACATGAAACGTTCCAGTGATGTGAAAATTGGGCATCTGCAGGTGAGTTTCTGGTGTAAAAATTTACAAGGCAAAAAATACTAATATTTTCATCATTTTAGGTAAAAAAGATAAAATAATTTGTGAATCATGCGATCTAGCTCAACAATAGCCATATAATACTTGGAGGACACCAAGAAACAACAAATACCGAAGGGATTTTTCAACTGGGATGAAACTTAGGGGAAAAAAGAAAATCGATTACACTAAAAGCCCAACAGAGACGAATTCCTCTGGCTCAGAATATCAAGAAAAACCTAAAAAGGTAACTTATACCAGTGTATTTCAGTTACTTAACAGTTATTGCTAAAAGTGCCATTTCACAGATCGTAAAAACATCTTTATATCTTTGGATTGTGTAGATCAAAATGAATAAAGAAATGAAATAAAAAGTTCTAGTTCTCCAGCCAGAAGTTCAAGTAGTAGTATCCAACCAGGTAGTCAACGACAAACACTGGATTTACTGACAGATAGTGATGAAGTTGAGCGAGTGCAAATGTCAGAAGAGGATTTTAATAAATTCACAAAGGTATTTCAAAAACTTGAAAATAAAAAAAAATGGGTATTAACATCTGAAAAGGTTGTCGTTATACAAGTTTGGAATGAGATGCAATTATGAACAGTAAGTACTTGCTGTTTTAAAATCAGATTATTATAGATCCTAAGCCATTAACATGTCAAAAGTCCCTGTCATTCTTTTATAATTGATCCAGAAGATAGAAGTTTTGTTGAAGAAAATATTTTCTCCCTATCTGAACTCATACAATCAAAAATCACTTCTGAATTTGCCCCAAGATTTGTTAGAATATCTTGGTAGTTACCAACTGGCACGTATTTTTCATATCATTATGCTTTGACCATTATTCACAAATGATGTTTTGACAAATTTTTCATTCGAATAGTCCACAATTTCTAACCTCAGAGCACGGGTTTTAGGACAGAACCATAGCAATCAGCTTACAACCGACAAAAGGATTTTGACAGGGACTGGATAAGGAACACCGTTGACAATCTGTAGGTGCAAGGTTTTCTTATCTAATCTAAAACAACACATTAAATGTTAATCATACCACCTATTTCATATAGTATTCGTGAATATGAAACAGACAGCCTAAAAAAAGAGATCATTTAGAAGGATAGTTACTGTCACATGTATGGTTATTCATAGACAAGGCGTTTGAGAACATAGAAGATGTCGAAGCAATTAGGTAAGATAGGTGATTATATCCCTTTACAGAATTAATCATTAAAAATCTGGATCATTTTGTGAACAGGGGAGAATCTTGTAGCATCGCATCATTATCAAAAAAAAATAGAGATTGAAAAGTTCTATCTGTGAGCTCGATGCAAAGGAAGATCATGGGCAGGAAGGGAGATTTAATAATTCGTTGCATGTATAGGGAATATGGATGCGGAGAAGCGAGCAAATTATACACAGGTTATAATAGTACAAAAATTCTACGAGAGAGAGAATTGAAAATGCCAAAGATGATGAAGGATCAATTCGATAACTTATGCATTCACATGGGATCGAAAGAAAAAAAAGTCAGAAAGCTTGAAACTATCAGATTCATTCATGCAGGTATGATACATACATATTTTTTATTTACCAGATCCTCAACTAATTTTTCCAAATTCCCTAGGACTTTCTGTACTATTGCTCAGATTAGATTCTCCAGCAAGATATGTTAGTAGAATCTCTCGTTCTAAAATGTTGATCATCCTATCAAATATCAGTAAATTTTGCAAAGGAGTTCTTCCAGCTATTATACTTGCGTGGATGGCAAAGATTTGTGTCTTATAGGAAATATAATAAATTGATTGTTGGAATATGTTGAATATGCATATTAATGTCTAAAAATTTCTTATGAATAGAAAATCGTCAGCAATGTCATTGAGATGATGAATGAAAATGATGAAGAAAATCCACTTCAGGCCTTCCAACAATCATGCGAGAACACATCACTTCTTTCTCCTCCACAGCATATAATTTGTTACATAACCAGTTTTGATACTCTCCAAACAAGACAAAAGAAGCTAAAGTCTAGAATATTGTAAGATTATATAGTTTCTAGTTGAATGTATTAATTTAGTATGCAAGTTTCTCCGTCATTTTTAACTATCTGAATTTATATTAGTATGGTATGGGTAAACATTTAATAAATTTTATTAAAACTTTTTCGCATTATCTATTTCAAGGCTAAATATAGAATGATTTGCTAAAATTTTGAAAGTTATCAGTGAGAAAGTCTACTATGGCAAATTTTTCTCATGTTCACAGTTACCAATACCCTCAATCATAGACTTCTGGACCAGATTTTCTTCATGTGCTTTTTATCTCTAGGCGAATGCCAATATATCACATCTAGTAGGGATGTAATAAACGTATTTTAGAATTATATGATCTATACGCACAAAAAAATAAATTGCAAAAATTTAATTAAAGTTTTATGTTTATTCAATGAGACCCAATTCATGAAGATGCTCAGGAATAACTATATATGGGTCCTCGTAATACTAAACATACCTTAAAGCAATCCAGTTTATTTCGCATAATTCTTTCTTGAGTTGATCCCGCTCTTGCTATTTAGTGAAATTATTGGGATCATTATTATGAAAGAATTCAATATATCTTTCGTGCTATTCTCCCTGTACTTCAGTTGCAAATCTTTATTATGGGTAATAAATGTCAAGTTCTAATCCAGTTGGGTGATCTAAAGTTTTAAGAAAATCAGATCGACGTATCTTAGATGGCGGTCCAAGATATTTTGACATAATCTCTCGACACAATCTTTCATTATATTTAGAGCAATATGGACACCATGTATTATAATATTTTACACGAGAAAGAGTAGTATACCATTGATGGTTTTTATTATATTTTCAGAGTAATCGACTTTTGCTATTAATATAGGAATCTGACAAATATTCTCCACCTCGGCTATATGCAATAGATTTGGCCATCGAAATATCAAATTTTGTACTAGCACAATTCAGACACCAATAGTTTTTGTTTTTAATACCACTGATGGAAGTAAACCATTCATGTGATTTGGTACATCTCCAGCATAAATGCATTGTATAATTGATGTAAACATCAGATAAACACTCTCTGTTCCTGCTACGTGCTAATTCTTTTGCATATTTAATGCCAAGTTTCTCAGATTCACATATACAATGTGGGCACCAAGTTTCTCTTTGAATACTATCAATCTGAACAAGTCAAGAATGTCCTTCAGAACATCTCCAAGAGAGTGAAGTACGTCTGTTATGATAAAAACTAGAAATACACATTCCGCCTCTTTTATTTGTGAGATTCTGAGCGAATTCAAGTCCAAGTTTCATGCACTCACAACACCAACTTTCTTTGATTTTAACATCCGAAAGAGATAGGTGAAATTGATGATTATTTTTGCATTCCCATAAGTGAGGTAAACTATTATTGACATAATTCTCAGAAATACACCTTCCATTTTTAGCACATGCTAATTCTTTGGCCACTAAAATATTGAGTTTTCTATTTGAGCAATAAGGACACCATGAATGGCGATTTTTGATAGATCAAAATGAACAATTCTATTGATGGTTTTTATTACATTCTCAAAGCATTGGAATTTCACAATTTGATATATTTATTGGAAAAGCATTTCCCTTCATGAGATTCTGCTATCTTTATTGCATCATCTAAAGAAAATTTTTTTGACATTGCAGTTAACAAAAATATGTTTCTTGAATAATTATCCTACTTTTCAAAATATTATGGATATTACGAATTACGTAAATTAGACGAAATAATACCTTCGAAAAAACAAAATCCATTCACTTCTAAACATACATTTAGACTACTAGTTGCGAGTACCTTTGAGTCTGGAAAGACAAGCATGGTAGTACATCTACTCCTAGGAAGTAAATATCCAAAAATATATCCGTAAATGTCTGATGAAAAGTGTGGTCATAAAATATCAAAATGCAGGAGCAAAAATTTTGGTAAAAGATATATTCCATGTGATGATCTAATTATTGTTGCGCAACATCAAAATGAAGAGTTATGGGAAGCAGTACAATGTTTTTATAAATTTATAGTCATGGATAAGCAAATTCCATGGTATGAAAATGTGAGATTCAAGCTGATTATGCCTGAAGAACTACCTGATATTTCATCTTTCAAAAAAACTGGCTGATTTACTGTTATAATCTTTGATGATCTTGCCAGTGAGTCTCTAGCAACTCAGCTAAAAATTATACCTTTCTTTAGGTCAGGTAGACATGAAGAAATTAGTACAATTTATATCGTCCAATGTTTTATGAAACTCATCTAAACATACGTGCAAATCTTAAATATATTTCATTGCATTATAGATGTGAAACATTAGATAGTATAAAATGAATTCTTAAAGATATATATGATAATTATGAGCCTCTAGCAAAAAACATTTCATGGTTATTGATATCCGAAGACCATCTGATGATTCCTTATCAATTAGATTTAGATAGGACAACCTTTAAAGGATTGGCAAAATAATTAAATTCAGGATGATTCGTAACCTCATTCATATCTATAAGAAAAAGTTTCATAAGGGTAGTTCTGTCTTTTGGTTCTTCTGCATGACAAATTGGAAATCTATAATTCTGATTTTCTTTTTTCTTTAAATAATTCAAAAGATTTTTTTCTTCATTGAGAGGTGAAATAAAAGAATATAAATAAGAGAATATAGATCACAAGAATCATATAATTAATAATACTATTAAGAGAAAAATCACAAACTGAAAAAAGAAGGAATTGGATTTATTATCACTAAATTAAGTTTTGTCAGTTTTTGATGTAGTAATAGGTGTTACTAAAGATGATACAGCAATTGATTTCAAATTTACAAAATGTTGCAACATAAGCTAAAATTAGTTGCAATATATATAGGTTAAAACTAATTGCAACGTAAGTTGTAACATTAAAAGTTGCAACATATTAATTACAGTTCCCATCTTTAGGTGTTACTGAAGTGATTTCAGGACTAGTAATACTGTTACCTTTCTCCAGTTCACTAATATCTCCAGTCATCTCATTATGCTTAAAGTCATTAGAAGTTTTTGAAATTTTCTTTACTAAACGAGCATTAGTTTCTTGAAGGAGAGAATCTTTCTCTATCAATGTCTTTTGTACTGAAAGTAAATCATCTCTCATCTATATTAATTCATCCTTTTTTTGGTCAGTATTTATTGTAAATCTTCTTTTTCCAAATTTAAGCCAATATTTTTATTAGATAATTTCACGTATTTCAATTCCAATTTATTCTTGAGTGAATTCATTTCTGATAACTCCTTTTGTGCTAAAAAAAACATCCTGTTCTAATTCCTCTACTCTTGATTGGAGAGCCTGTATCTCTTCCAATTTTATAATAACCTTACTTTAACACTAATATGAGAAATATCTTTTTGAGAAATCTGGTTTTTGAGTTCTCTCACCTTATCTTTAAGTTGGCATACACGCTTTGAAAAACTTTTATTATTTTTATCATAAGATTACATCTAGTATCAAGTTGATTATCTAAGCTTAAAGTAATATCTAGGTTACACTTCGTACAAGTAAGTTAGTTCTCAAGTTCAGTTCAGCTGAACAGATATCGATTAGATGATGACTCTCCAAGTTTATTATTAGATATCAGAGCTATCCCACCATTTATCTCATTCAGCATATGCATATTTGCCATATGAATTTATTTTTTTGAAAGCAAAATATTTTATGATTTTTTTTCTTTGAATGTGAAGAAAGGGATTCAGAATCAAATTAATATCAAACCGATAAAAAACCAGCTTAAAACAAATATGATATTTGAAATGTATACAACTTGAATCTATTTTTTATTTGGATCAAATTTATAGCGAAATATGTGATAGAGTAAGCAAATTTCATATATATATATCAAACCAATACCAGACCAATATCAATAAATTGTGAATAAATTTTTTACAAGTTTTTTATTAGTATCATACAAATTTATTACTAGCAAACTATGAGCAAAAAACAAACAATCCATACTCATAAATTTCTTAGATCAGATGCCTAATGCTTATCACTTGAAGTTATCAAAGAAATTAGAAATGCTCAGAATAATATTTCAGATGCTCAGTGTATTATGTGTAAAAAACATCGTATAGAATCAATAACATATCAAAAAATCATTGATAATTAAAGGCCTTCTGAATCGATTGAGAAATAGCGTAGAATATTAGAATCTGTTAATATCTCTGATCAGATTTCAGAAAATAAACAGGAATCTTCACAGCCTGGAAGCGTGAAACATAATACTTTTTCTTTTACTAACTTAGAAGAAGATAGGATCATTTATATGGATCATCCTGCAGATAATGAGAATAGCGCAAATTCTCATATAAATTCTAATAGTGTGATTACAGTAACTAGCAGAAAAAAGATAAGGTTAGTCAGAAAAAAAAGTTTAGTATAAACCGAAAAGTAAGTCTTCTCCTTCAGTGGCTTTAGTAGAAAAAAAATGAAAGCATAGGTAGACAATGTTTGCTAAAGTAATCTGATTCATCTAGATAGGAAGCTGAACTTAATAAATTAATAAATATTACTGAAGACATTGTTATGCATCTGATCTTTTCTTTGTAAATTAAGAGTACCTTTTTACAAGAATTTTATCTGCATTTAATGCCATGTCAAGCCATCTCTCAGTTTTCAAGAGGTACTTTTCAAGCTCTTCACACTTTCTTTTAAGTCCTTCTTACTAGTTGGATCAGAAGAGTTAGCAGATATCTGAGGTGATAATTCATGCTTCTCTTTTGGCG